AATAGCTGGGCTTGTAGCTCACCGGTAGGTCTCCTTCTCCACGCGCACCCCGCCCGGCGCGTCGTCTGCGCCCGTGCAGTCCAGCTCGATGCAGTGCAAGCGGCTACCCCACTCGCAGTGCTGGATGTCGCGCGCCTTGTACAGCTTCGTCTGCAGGCACGTGGACACCTCTCCCGACCCCAGCACCTGCAACGCGAGGCACCGCCGTTGGCATTCCCTCTCGCAGGAAATGGCGGCTTTGGCGTGAAAGGCGCCGCTATGCGATTACGATACGTGAACCGTACTATGGAAGAATTTGCCAAAAGGCGGCTCCACACATTCGGCATTCGCCGAGCAGCTCGTTCAATCCCGAACAGTTGATGTGTTCGGCGAATGTTTGCTCCCTTTGGTGTGTCCTAAAGGCGGCTCTACACATTCGGTATTCGCCGAGTAGCTCGTTCAATTCCGAACAGTTTATGTGTTCGGCGAATGTTTGCTCCCTTTGTTGTGTCCTAAAGGCGGCTCCACACATTCGGTATTCGCCGAGCAGCTCGTTCAATCCCGAACAGTTTATGTGTTCGGCGAATGTTTGCTCCCTTTGGTGTGTCCTAAAGGCGGCTCCACACATTCGGTATTCGCCGAGCAGCTCGTTCAATCGCGAACAGCTGATGTGTTCTGCGAATGTTCGCTCCCCTTGGTGTGTCCTAAAGGCGGCTCCACACATTCGGCATTCGCCGAGCAGCTCATTCAATCGCGAAGAGCTGATGTATTCGGCGAATGTTCGCCCCCCTTTGGTATTGCCTTAAGACCGTAACGTAGTGGGTAAGGCGAATACCGAATGTTCGGCGCTCGGCAAATCGCAAGAAACCCGTCCACACTACTCGGGATTCGGCGAGCGGTTGCTCGGGATTTGCCGAATGCTGCATGTGTGGAGCCACCTTAAAAATTAGCCAAAACGACAGTTCTCTAAACAAATCATGACATGTACTTCAGAGAAGTATCCCTCCTCCGCGACAGCTGTTCAGCTACGTCTCTTCGTAAAGTGTTTATGTTTGTACATGGCTCCTGTGAAGACATCATGACGTCTCACGGTTCACAACCGTGTAATTATATAAAAAACAAATTGATAAAACACAAAGTACGGAACGATCAATTTGGAGCCGTTTTTGAGAAAATGTCTTTTGAGCGTTTCTGAAAATGCGGAACATTGAGTACATTTTCACAAAAAGCTTTTGAAATTTCGAGGATCATTAGAAATTATTTAAAGCCAATGTACTCACAAATGCAGTAATGAATAAAAATACCCATAGTGTAAATTCGTTTAAAAAAAAGGAAAAATACAGCAAATTTGAATCTATGTTATTTCTAGTTTATTTGTCTCGGTTCCAACAAAAAAAGGAGTTTTTTTGTTGTTGAGAAAATAGTGTTTTTGATATTTTTAATATTTCCCATATTCCACTCCAAATTGTGCAAAAATTTCTAAAATTTTCAAAAATATTAACCGTATGTTAACTGAAAACTAATTGTGGAAAACAAATTTAATTTTTAAAAAGATCCATAAAATAGCTTCATGTGCGTATTTAATATTATTTTGGTTAGTTCTCTCCCATTCTCTCCCACCTAATTTATATTTTGTACCTTACTTACATTTTCACTCAAAATCTAACTTTAAAGATTAGTATTCTCTGATTTTGGTAATTTAAAATTTTGAATTTAATATTTAAAAAAATGTAATTTGAATTTTCAGATGAAAATGTAAACACCTAATTGCTAAACACACCAAAAAAATTAATGCGCTATACCATGCGCGAAACGTAATGTGATTAAATACTTTCTTTATCAATTACCATTGATTGTCTTAAGTAAAATGATACTTTTGTGGATTTGGAGGGTACAGACTTTTTTATAAAAATTTGTTTTCTAATATTTTTCAAAATTTTTTCTTAATGAAATTTATAATTCAAAGACAGATCTTGAAGGTTATTTACAATTTTTGAAAATATGAAAAGTTCTCAGGTAATTTTACGGGGCAATTTAAAAAACAATTCATTTCTCAAAACGGCTCGCAATGTTTGGTTTCATCTTATTTTTCAAATAGAGCAAAGTACTGTTATAAAAATGAAGCTGGACTCATTTCCAATGAACTCTAATAATTGCAAAAAATGAACAATATCGATGAGAAATTTTTTTACTTATTAAAATCTGTTCTTCAAAACTAGATATTTAAATAAGCGCATATACATTTTTTTGAAAATATGAGCAGTTTCGCGTAATTTTTGTCCTTCTAAATCGCAATTACGAATTTCTCTCGCTTATTTTGTTGAAGTTAGTTTCTGCCTTTAATGAGTTATCAGACAGCAATCTGACAATGGTACGGCCCCAGCAGGAGAGTTTGAAATTCATAGATTTACTTCTTATTGTTGGGCGACAATGCTTCTCACTGTATGGAACGCAGATTTCGATTGTAGAATTTGTTTATTAGCTAAAAAGGATTAGTTTTAGCACCGAACGCGTTTCGATTGGTAACAAGTTCTACGAGAGGTAGTTGAGACGTATTAATATGGACAGGAATTGCGGTATTATATATTTTAAAACCGTTTATAATATTAGAAAGCACATACTGTTATAGTTTAGATTTACTAGTTTAGATTTATGGAAGTATTGCAAAGGAAAATTGCACGGAGAAACTTGTCTCCTACTCAAACCAAGTTCGTCGGTTAGGGGCATTTCCCTAACCAGGTATCTCCTACCAACGGGCCACCGACCCTGCCGGGACAAGCTCTAAGCTCCTGACCGCTCTCCCGGCATGTGTGACAGTGTAGTGCGTGTTAGTGTAGATGTGTGTAAATAAGGGGTTAGTAGAGGACAAGGAAGAGGAAGGAAAGATCGCGCGCGGTCCGTGGCCCGTTTGTTGGAGTACTGCTCCGGCATTCGCCTGGTGTTGACCGGAGAAAGAATTCTCTTTCAGACGCGACTGAAATCGACCTAGCTGACCAGTTAGTGTCGAAAATTCTGCCACTGCAGCGTCGGGAATTTTCGCCGCGAGAGAAGTTCGAATGTTATTCAGTGGGGATGGTGCTAGACTAGTGCTAGCGTTCTGACGTGTTTGCGAAGTATGTCATAGTCTGCCCTGACTTTATGGTATTGCGAAGTAAGGTATTTACTGAGAAAAATATTTGAATAAACAATCCAAACAATTTTGGAAGTTCATCTTTCTGCTTTGTAGTTGCATTTAACTGTGTGACCACGTAGTGTCAAAATGTGTTGGTTATGATATTGCGTTAAACTGGAAAGAGGCATTCGATGACAAGGTTTTGAGGTTTACAAGCGTGAAACAATACAATCACTATTCATTGTCACCACAGAATTACACATGTTTATGAAAAGGTTATTGAAATCCTCCTCAATTGAAAAACGTGATGCATCACATGATAAAATTACAATCGGCGATCACTGAAAAGCTTTTCTAAAGAGACACATGTGATAAACGTTGCTGAACTTTGCTTTTATGTACACGTATTGAAAACAGTCAATTACATTTAAAAACGTATCTTCGAACTTAAAACAACTCTCTATCCTCTCTTCGCAAACTCTAACCACTCCCACCCCCCTCGATCGTGCTAGACGACGACTCGTCCCGTCGGCTGCTTTTGGTAGATCGACAGCATCTCGCACAGCAAAACGACGTATGAAGAAACGACACATAAGCTTTATTCTAGTAATTTAAAAATATCGTTAAAATTTAGTATTTTTACTATAAACACGATTAATAAGAGACAGTGACAACACATCTAGGGTTTACTATATTTTACTTAAAGAAAAATATCACGAAATTTGTTCGAGTTGAAAGCTCACAATTCTTTTCTAGATGAAAACCCTTAGGTTTTGAATGCTGTTTTAAATTTAAATTAAATACATAAATGATAGATGATACGAAGCATTTGCTACTTATTACACCATGTCAAAAAACAGAACTCGAAACCAGATGTTTAATAATAAAAGGAACGGCATTTAAGAATCAGAAAAACCCGTGAACCTACTATTTACTTATCTCCCTTTATTTATTTATTTATTTATTTACTTACGTCAAAAACAGTTAAAAACTGGGACAAGCTATGGGGAGAAGTTAATTTGAAATTACATTTATGCCCAGAAGAGAAACAAGGAGCCATCTTAGCATTTGCTCAAGAATCAGGAAAACTGGACATAGATGGATCGAGATGGGGGTCATTGACTAAGAAGTTGAAGTAAATACTTGTTACAGGTTCGTTAAAATTATACAATCCAAATATTAAACAATACATTGAATGTCATTGTTAAAATTAATATTACGTTCCTTTTGGATGTCCGGTAAACTCTCTAATTGTTATGAAGCAGAAAAGATTTTACTAAAAAAGACGTAAACGTTTTCATCGAATTTAATGTCATTTGGCAAGGTGTTGTAAAATAATGTGTATTATATGTGAATGTTTTTTGTAGAGAGCTGTTGATACTACTTTCTTGGCTATCAGGGGTGAGCAGCGTCTCGGTCAATTGTGCTGACGTTTCGGCCATCTTGCTGTGGCCTACTTCAGAGCTATAGCTCAGAGCTATAGCGTCAGAGCTTCTTAGATCTGACCAGTCAATACCTTCTTAGCCAAGATGGTATTGACTCCGGCCGCGGAAGCCTATGAACGCAGCTGTTGATACTACCACTTGATGAATATGATATTATGTATATACATACATATACATACATACATATATATATACATATATATATACATACATATATATATACATATATATATACATACATATATATATATATATATGTATGTATATATATATATATATACATACATATATATATATACATACATATATATATATATATACATACATACATATATATACATACATATATTACTATGATAATATTATTACTATTCCTCTTCGAATATTGAATATTGTGTGATTGCAACGACAATCCTCATCATTAAGGATGTCCTAGAAGTTGTTCGCGGAGTGGGAGGCGGTACCTTCATGACGATGCAGAGGTCCTCGCGGGTGCCCTTCTTGCTGGGTTTGAGCCCTTCGGTGGTGTAGTAGGAGGAGTAGGCGCAGGCCGTGCTGTCGCGCGCCCGCTCGCAAGCGGCCATCACCTGGTCCTGGATCACCAGGCTTCTGCGCAAACACACACACACACATTCATTGGTTAACTGAAGTCGTACGCTTCCGAGGCCAGAGTCATGTGCGTGATCTGGGTTGTACGGGTGACGCCGCGTCGAAGGCTGTGTTGCCGACGTCTCGACCATCTTGTCGTGGGTCTTCCCCAGGGCTGGTATGAGTCATGGCTGAGTCACCTCAGGGCTGGTCGAAACGTCGGCAACACAGCTTTCGACGCGGCGTCACCCGGACAGCCCAGATCACGCACATTCATTGGTTGATTGATTATAGCGACTCCGGCCGCAGCAACTGCTAGTCCCGTTAAGTGAAGTGCGTGCTTTTATCGGTAGACGTGGAGGTGGATCTTTCCCGCTGGTCTGAGAGATTCGGTACCGACATACGTCGGCTGGCTGGGGTTCCCCCCCCCCAAACAGGTATTTCCCACTAGCGCAGAGGTTCTGTGTATTCTCTTATATGTATTATCCGCGTAGGTTTCCCTGAGCCGTCATTTCGCTAGATGCGAGAAGAGTGGGGGATCAGAGTATTTTCTCAACATGTTTATAATATCAAAACTGCAGCTCATTTTCCTATGCAAAATGGTTTCAATTAGAAAACATTTCTCCTTATCAGATTTGGACAACTATTCTCCTTACTATTATTTATTCTGAATTCAACAAATGTTAGTAAATGGGTGAGGGTGGGTATTTCGAAGCTCAAGAAAACGTGCGCGTGTAATACATAGTTTCGAAAGACCGCAGCCCTGGAATCCTATGTCTTTCTGGTTAGAGTAGAGTCAAAAATGTAAAGAATGACCCGGTAAAATTAAAAATTAAACATCATTCTTCATAAAATCATTCCCCAAAAGAGAAAAGTAACTGTGAATTGTTTCAGCATTTGTGAATTGAAACCTTACCTTCACTGTTAATTGATTGAAAAAAGTAGAATTTCCCGTTGTGTACTACCGCTAAATAATCGTGGCTATGTAAAGCAACTGTGAACGGCGAAGTTAACAAAACACTGGAATGAATTGAATCAACATGGCTGCTGACTTGCATATTGAAAATGATATGTATATACTTTTAGGTTTCCAAAAAAATTAGTACTAGCACGAGAGTGTCAGGCGTACTGATTTCAAAATGTGAACGTTTTATAATGAAAAATAATTATTTCAACTCGCCCGAAAGTGACTTTGGCGTACTCATTTCCATCATGTCAAAATAATTGTCGCAACTCGTCCGAAAGTGTCTTTGGCGCACTCGTTTCAAAATTTGACCATTTCATCGTACGACAAAAACAATTGTTGCAACTCGCCCGAAAGTGAATTTTGCGGACTCATTTCAAAATGCGAATATTTCAACATAAGCCAAAAATAATTGTCGCAACACGTCCGAAGGTGACTTTGGCGTACTCATTTCAAAATGCGAAAATTACATCGTACGCCAAAAATAATTGTCACTCAAAAGCGTCTTTGGCTTTCGCATTGTGAAACGAGAACATTTCATCGTCCGCCAAAATAACCGACGCGTCTTGTGCGAAAGAGTGTTTGGCCTACTGCTCTCAAACGCTGGCGCAGCGCAACTCACTGCAGCGAGCGGGGCGGCTTGAAGCTGACGTCGACGCGGTAGGTGGTGTCCGTGTGCAGCTTGACCGTCTTGAGCTGCTTGAAGCGCTGCGTCTGCTCCATCTTGCAGAAGACGGGCCCGCCCTCGGGCTCCTTCCGGATGGACAGCGTGACGCGGAACGAGCCCTGCTGCTGCGGCTGCTGCGGCTGCATGGGTCACCGCCCCGCGCGGGCATGCTGCTCCCCTGCGCAACATGCCACACCGCCGCACACGTCACTCGAGGCGCCACGGATTCCCGGATGGGTGACCGACCGTCTGATATGTGAATATA